CGTAGTCGATGGCAACTGGGCCATCCAATCCAGTGATTGGCAAAGCCACGTATTCAAATGTCGGGGTTGACATATCAATTTGAAAGATAGATTCCAAAGTTTGGTCTACTACCAGCATGAAATGTTTTTTATAAACATCTATAAAATAAAATAATGAAGATGACAAAATGTCATCATAGTGATATATATACAATGGCTCGATTTGTGTATCTCAATTCTACAAATAACCACATGGTTGTAGTTATGGAGAGTTTTGTTTTCCCATACGAGTTTCGAATATAAATCTACGTACAGGCTGAGATTTGATTTTCTAATTTACTATCACAGTATTTTCAGGAAAGACGTGGTTTCTACCAACCCCGTGGTTGAAGTCTCGTACAAATTCCACCTAATCTTTGACAACATCGGCCATTCCTGGGTGTAAAACACAGTAATGAATACATATCCGACATATGTAATTTAACCCAATCAAATGAATTCTGCCACCTACCTACATAACATAGTATATCTGTATCAGTGTTCCATTCCCCGTTATCAAGGCAAAGCAAATCACTGGCCAAGGTTGCCGTGTATCCATGTTCACACTGGTAGCTACATATACTGCCCAATGTATTGTCACATGTGTCAGATATTGATCCATGCTTGATATTCAGTGGACAACGGAAAACTAAAACAAGATATAACAATATTGTAATAAATCTAAAGTGGTATCTATCCTCTAGGCGTTTCAAATTCTTTGGCAACACTTTCGACATACATAACCTATCATCGACATGGTTGAATCACAGTTAGCTGGCGCACAAGTGATAACATAAATGCGATATTTACTAAATGGGGGCCGCCACCTTGAATGCGGCATAAAACTATACAAAGAGACAAAGTTGTGAAACGCGTTTTTTTCAGATTCCTACAAATTCTTTCACAGCCGAACGAACCGTTCGGGTTACTGTATATTAAAGCGAGAATTGAGTCCCAAGCGACGATAACAACACACGCTAAAAACGCAAAGGCTTATGGGTGGACGCTGTTTGTAAACAATCACACGTTATGGCCATCTGACGCATGCGCAGGTGACGACTCCCCCGCTTTAAGCCAACCGCTAACAACATTCGTTTTTGTGTAGATAAATATCTTGCATATGAACACATAATTACACGAAGAACATAAAACACTTCCCTGGGGTGTTTGAAAACCAAAAACTGTCATTCCAACTCAGCAGCTACTCAGCGATGGCCTTACAGTCAGATGACAACTAGTCTCTTTATTTAGTTTCATGCCGTATTCAAGATGGCGGCCCCATATAGTAAATATCGCATTTATGATATTATCACTTGTGCGCCAGCTGACTATGGGTTGAATGCAGTCTTGGCAAATCAGAGGTAAATATTATAATCAGTTGTTCTTCGAATAAATTGAATAACATGATAATAATCGAATTGTGACGGAGGTAATATCATTATTATATAATAATGCGTTTACTTTTTCATTCTTCAGTTAAACATGTAGTATAGTACTTTAATCAAAACAATTTTATATAATCTAAAAGTATATTTATTCAATGAGAATTTCAGAGCCTTATCATAAATGGAACATGCTTAAAACCGTGGTAATTTTGTGAAGACTAAGATTGCACATTCCCTATGTATTTTAAATAATTAATAATTAACACAGGCAAAGATGAAATAGTTTGAGAACTTACCTAACATCTCCAATTTACTGGGCGTTAGCATAACCATTGAACAAAATATGCAGCAACTATGCACTATTTATTTATTGGTATGCAAATTTTATTAACACGTTATTGTTAAATTCACGCATTCTAATGATTTCACTATCTGAATGTGAAAACAATTTCCTGGCGAAAATGCAAAAATCTTGAGTTAAAGTCTAATACACCTCTACTACTGTCAAAGGATGAGAATTGTTTTACGAAAAATATATCTCCCAACAGTCACTATGCAAATCACTACGATAAAGACTTTCCGTTTTCGACATTGTGAAATTCTTGTGTTCTCATGCAGAAAAATACAGTATTTTTTACTTAATAAAACCATCCCTATTAAAGTAAGTGTTCATACATGAGATGTTGAACACACTACATAGTTTGTAATTTCATTCAGCTTCTTTCAGTAATTCCTCCGGACAAATAAAAGTCAGAAATATAGAGAATATAGCAAATTATCATTATTTGTAATATTATATATTGTGTAATCGGTAATTATAACAATTATTTATGGGTGCAAAGGGAATAAATACATTTCGTTATGAATTATTCTTAATATACATTTAGAAATCAGTTGTTCAACGTTTTTTCTCCCAAAAAAACGAAATGTTAGAGTAAGAATGTATGTACAATGACGAAAATCAGAATTAAGACCAATGCTGTTGCCTATTACCATTCAGAATAGGTGTCTTAAAATACACACAAATCAGCAAATAGAGAATGATAAATTGAGTGGTTGAATAAATTACTTTTTAATTGCCCTCCAAAATACGGGACTCAGACTCAATATTGTGCAAATTATTTTAGGTGATACAAACTACCATGCTCAGTAAAATCCAACACAATGACTGCTGTTTCCAACAGAGAATTGTACGGTCTCCAGTTTCATCACAGTAATATTATGCTTGCCACATCAGATACACACATGTCTCACGTTTCGCATACTTCAAAAATGAATGTACGGGATCTAGGGTCGAACAATGCGATTAGAGGCAGAATCTCCAACCGATAGTTATGTCACCGCCCGATTCGATATGATGGCGTTTTCCCCACCGAACGTTTTTGTACAATATCAGTGCGTTAAAAATCAGTTCTCAGTAAAACACGGGAACCACTGTATTAATACATAGGCCTGTTGTGTGAATAGAACAACAATGAACTCATTTCCACTGATTTAATTGTACAGTGCATCAATAATCACAAATACGTCGAGTAGTACATCTCGGTTATAGCATGAGTACGCCTTGCAAAATATGTTTTTGATGCCCTATTTCTGGTTACGTATGTATTGTTTTCAATCCCATAAACTGAAGACAAATAAGATTAATATAAAAGCAACAATCTATACCACTTGATATACTTATTCAATGTTTGCACTCACTTACGCCACATGTTCTGTACTATCACATTGTATGTGCATATGCTTAGACCCTTCCGTTATTGAATACGAATAGAGTATTCGAAGATAGTTTTAATTGCCATACCTTGTGTGCATGCAACAATTGGTTCAGTACACATACACTCAGGTCCACTAGCACTTGGAATGCAAATTTCGTCACATCCTCCATTATTTAGATCACATGGTCCTGAAATGTGAGAAGCACCAACAATGCAGCAGGATCGTGTCATGATATTTGTTAAGGTCAATATAGCTACATAGAATTACTTCATATGTTCCCTTTTCTCAACCCGTTCTTATGGCTATATATATATATATCGTCTATAAGCTTGGACACAGCCGACCAACGATGGATTTATTGCGTAACTTATTAGTAGTTTACGTTACACTATAGGGACGACCATGAGGGCGCTGTTCATACTGGATGCGATGACGTAATACGGGGTGGGATGACGTCACAATGGGAGGTTGTGAATGCATTTGCATACATAAAATAGATTTTAATACGAGGTCGTGTCGAGGTCATCGTGAATACATTTGCATAAATTACCATCATTTTTTTTTTTTTTTTTTTTTTTTTTTTTTTTTTTAATTGGACAGGCGTGGACGAAAGATTTTCCAGAATGTGTTGTAAAGGGCGCTCTCTCTCTCTCACACACACACTAATCAATACACGTCATTTTGAAAACTAACGGAGTTTATTACATTTATTGCACAAAAGAAGTAAACAAGAATGAAATGACATGGAGTATATATTTATGGCATGGAGTTTTTTATTTTTAATTTTGTTTAACATAACAAAAAAAAACATACGATGTGAGTAAGGAATATAGTTGTGTAGTGTATAAATGTTTAGCGTGATTAAATATTTCTTAATACCTCGAAAAATACGTAGATACGTAAATGTGTGGCGTGGTTAAATTTATATTTAACGCCACGAAAAATACGAGTACATAAACGATTCGATTAAAAACACGGAAGAGTAAAAAGTCAACAGTGAACAATCAAAAATAATTAATTCTATATATACATATGTTGTTCATTGTTTATATTTCTTAAAATTTGC